ACTAGATGACCTTTGGAGGTCCCTTCCGGCCTGGACCATTCTATGATTCTATGACCCCAGCCCAGGTTGCCCCGAGAAGCTGTGGCTGCCCCATCCCTAGAGGGGTTCAAGGCCAGGTTGGAGGGGGCTTGGAGCAACCTGGTCTGGTGGGATGTGTCCCTGGATAAAACTGGATGGTCTTTAAGGTCCCTTCCCACCCAAACGCTTGCACAGCTCTGCGTGTCCATGGCCGAGCCCTGGTCCCTGGAGCAGCAGCACAGCAGCTCCAGGGCTGGACTACTCCTGTCCTACAGAGATGCTGCTGCTGCCAACTTCACATCCCCCCTGAGAGCAGGAGAAGCCAGGGATGAGTCAAATAACACCTCCCCGCCCCCATTTCTGGGCTTGAATGTGGGGACAGCCCCTCAGGGAAGGGCTGTGGCTTGTCCCCTCCCAGGAGTGGCAGGAGAAACCATTCCAGATCCTCTCCCTGCTGGGAAACATGTCTTCAGGCCTCCAGGTCCACCCACCCCGTTCGCTCTCCCCAGCTTTGATTCCTTGCCCTGGGGTCAAACCAGAGAGGAAAGCTCCGTGGTCACCTCGCCCCGGTGAAGACAGAGGTCCTGGAGGACCTTTCTGTGGTCCCATGGAGAGCAGAGGATGGACACATCCATGTGAACACAGTGGTCCTGGAGGACCTTTCTGTGGTCCCATGGAGAGCAGAGGATGGACACATCAATGTGAACACAGTGGTGGTCCTGGAGGACCTTTCTGTGGTCCCATGGAGAGCAGAGGATGGACACATCCATGTGAACACAGTGGTGGTCCTGGAGGACCTTTCTGTGGTCCCATGAAGAGCAGAGGATGGACACATCCATGTGAACACAGTGGTCCTGAAGGACCTTTCTGTGGTCCCATGAAGAGCAGAGGATGGACACATCCATGTGAACACAGTGAGGAAGGAGAGATAGTCCTTAAGGAAGTCCATCTTGGGGGTGTCACCGTTTCTCCTGGGGGCAGGAGCCACCAACAACCTTCTCCACCAAGGAGCACCAGGGGCAAAGCTGCCTCTGGCAAAGCCAAGGTCCCCACGGTCACTCAACTGGACCCACATCAAAAATTTGGGTGCTGTCTGAAGGTCCATCTCTGGGAGAAGTGCCCTTAGGACCCGGCAGGAGATGTTTGAAGAAAGATCCCTCCTCCACGCATCATCCCTTCCTACGTGGTCCTGGAGGACCTTTCTGTGGTCCCATGGAGAGGAGAGGATGGACACATCCATGTGAACACAGTGGTGGTCCTGGAGGACCTTTCTGTGGTCCCATGGAGAGCAGAGGATGGACACATCCATGTGAACACAGTGGTGGTCCTGGAGGACCTTTCTGTGGTCCCATGGAGAGCAGAGGATGGACACATCCATGTGAACACAGTGGTCCTGGAGGACCTTTCTGTGGTCCCATGGAGAGCAGAGGATGGACACATCCATGTGAACACAGTGGTGGTCCTGGAGGACCTTTCTGTGGTCCCATGGAGAGCAGAGGATGGACACATCCATGTGAACACAGTGGTGGTCCTGGAGGACCTTTCTGTGGTCCCATGGAGAGCAGAGGATGGACGCATCCATGTGAACACAGTGGTCCTGGAGGACCTTCTGTGGTCCCATGGAGAGCAGAGGATGGACACATCCATGTGAACACAGTGGTGGTCCTGGAGGACCTTTCTGTGGTCCCATGGAGAGCAGAGGATGGACACATCCATGTGAACACAATGATGCCGTGGGGAAGGAGAGATGGTCCTTAAGGAAGTCCATCTTGGTGGTGTCACCGTTTCTCCTGGGGGCAGGAGCCACCAACAACCTTCTCCACCAAGGAGCACCAGGGGCAAAGCTGCCTCTGGCAAAGCCAAGGTCCTCACGGTCACTCAACTGGACCCACATCAAAAATTTGGGTGCTGCCTGAAGGTCCATCTCTAGGAGAAGTGCCCTTAGGACCCGGCAGGAGATGTTTGAAGAAAGATCCCTCCTCCACGCATCATCCCTTCCTACGGCAGCTGCAAGTACTTAATATTTTTGGATGTCTCTGGTCCCTCGTCAAATGTGGTTTGAGCTGGAGAAGTTATTTTTGGGAAGAAAATAAAAGGGAAGTTCAGATGAGCACCAAACTGGGCTGTTGCTTAAGCCTCATTTTTCGAGCAAAACAAGCGAGTTTGCTTCCCCGTCCTCTCTCCTGGCTCAGGCGTGGTTCTGCTGATTCTGCTCTCCTGGTAAAGAGGATGGTGAGGAAGATGAAGGCTGGTTGCTGGGAAGGGCCACAGCGGTTGTTTCTCCTCCTCAGAGTCCACCTCTCCTCCAGGGCCAGACCCTCAGCCTGGTGGGTGCTGTGGAGGAGCTGAGAGATTTGCCAAATCTTCCACTTCCAGGGGTGCTCAAAAATCATAGAACCATGGAATGGTTGAGGTTGGAAGGGACCTTTCAGACCATGGAGTCCAACCAACAACCCAACACTGACCCATGACCCTCAGCACCACTTCTGCCCAGCTTTGAAATCCCTCCAGGGATGGGGACTCCACCACTGCCCTGGGCAGCCTCTGCCAAGGCTTCACAACCCTTTCCAGGAAGAAATTGTTCCCAAGCTCCATCCTCAACCTCCCCTGGAGCAACTTGAGGCCATTTCCTCCTGTCCCATGGCCTGTTCCTTGGGAGAAGAGACCGACTCTCCCTGGCTACACCCTCCTTTCAGGGAGTTGGAGAGAGCCAGAAGGTCTCCCCTCAGCCTCCTTTTCTCCAGGCTCAACACCCCCAGCTCCCTCAGAAGTTCTCCAGACCCTTCTCCTTGTGCTCCAGACCCCTCACCAGCTCCGTTGCCCTTCTCTGGACACTCCAGCCCCTCGAGGCCTTTTTTTGTGGTGAGGGGCCCAAAACTGGACCCAGCCCTTGAGATGGAGCCTCCCCAGTGCCCAGTCCAGGGTGATGGTCACTGTCCCAGTCCTGCTGGCCACACTGGTCCTGACATAGGCCAGGATGCTGGTGGCCTTCTTGGCCACCTGGGCTGAAATCCTCCCAGGGCCTTGGTCAGAACCCATTCACACCAGTTGGACGCTGGCACAGCTGGACTGGTTTTGCTGGGGACCCTCCAGGGGTGGGAAAGAGGACCAGGAATTCCTACATGAGCGCTGGGCTCCTCCTGTGCTTAAACAGGCTTTTTTTTGGTACAACGGCTGCTGGTGGTGGTGACACAGACCAGTGGCTTTGGAAGATGACAAAGCATGAAACTGCTTGGATGGTTCAGCCTGGAGAAGAGAAAGCTCTGGAGAGACCTTGGAGCCCCTTCCAGTCCCTCAAGGGGCTCCAGAAGAGCTGGGGAGGAACCCTTGATGAGGGAGGGGAGCCCTAGGAGGAGGGGGAAGGGTTTGACACTGAAGAGGGGAGATGGAGCTGAGATGTGGGAGAAGAGAAGGTTCCAGGGAGACCTTGGAGCTCCTTCCAGTCCCTCAAGGGGCTCCAGGAGAGCTGTGGAGGGACTTTTGCTGAGGGAGGGGAGCCCTAGGAGGAGAGGGAAGGGTTTGACCCTGAAAGAGGGGAGATGGAGCTGAGATGTGGGGAAGAACTTGTTTGGTGTGAGGGTGGTGAGAGCCTGGCCCAGGTTGCCCCGAGAAGCTGTGGCTGCCCCATCCCTGGAGGGGTTCAAGGCCAAGTTGGAGGGGGCTTGGAGCAACCTGGGCTGGTGGGAGGTGTCCCTGGATGGAACTGGGTGGGCTTTAAGATCCCTTCCCACCCAAACCCTTCCATGAGTCTATAATTAAAGCCCCCCAGCTTCAGGCAGGAGGTGGTCCCCACGTTTCCCACACTGCCACAAAGGCAGGAGACACCTGGTGTGTGGAGAAGAAGAGCCCCCACGGGGTTGTACTGGGAGAAGACCTTGGAGGTGAGCACCCAGGAGCTTCCCCGTGTCACTGTCACCCTGGGGATGCAGGTTTCAGCCTCCGCAGCCACGAGGCGAAGAGCGGTTGCCATGAGACAGGGAGGTTGGGTACACGGCATTCCCAGCCCCGAGGTGTCCCCAACTCCGGCCTCCTCCAGGTGCCACCTTCACCCCAACTCACCCCTGTCCTCAACCCACCTCTCACCTCAGCTTAACACCCCAAAAAAGCCCTGAACATCCCCCAAGGGAAGCAGAGCGGCGGTTTGTGACCTCAGAAATAAGCATTTAAAAGCAGGAGGGGACAGCAAAGGACAGGTGACAGGGGGTGGAGCAGAGAGGGGACAACCTGAGAAGGTCCTGGGCAAACATCTGCCCTGCAAGATCCAGCCTGGTGGCTCCCCAGGACGGGAACAAGCCCCCTTTTTGCAGGGTGAGCACCCCCAGCCCCACCACCAGGCTCTGCCCCGGCTCTCCCCTCCCTCCCCAAGCTCCTCGATGAAAACCAGCAGTTTTTTTTAACGTTCAAGATAAGGAGCAGAGACTATTTGACTATTTTTCCCCAAATAACACCTTGGTTACAGGGTAGGAGCTGCAAAAAGTCATGGCCCAGCTTCCTCCGGTGCAGGAAATGGCGTTAGCTCCATCAAATTTCAACTTTTACGTTGTTGGGAAAAGAGCCAAAAAAAAAAAGATAGCAAAGGCCTTTTTTTTTTTAGGGCCTGGGCTGAAAAAAAAGAAAAAAAAAGGTTGTTCCTGTTGCTTTTGCAAGGGCTGCGTTTGCAAACTGTGACTTCCTGAGCGGAGGCCACCGCTTGTGACAAACACACAGAGACACATGATGAAATGCCAACACCACCCCCCTCCCCGACGCTTGGGGCCTGGAAAAGAAAGGGTTAAACCTGCCACAGAACAAGCCCATTTCCTCCAACTTGTGGGGTTTTGGGGTTTTTGGTTTTTTTATTTTTTGGGTCTGTTTTCTTCTGCAAAGTACAGCAACGGGTCGGCGATAAAAACGGTGGCAGGATGTTCTCTACGGCCGGAACACGGCGATGGTTTGAGGGAGTCAACGCCACCAAAACTGCTTTTACTCACTTAAAAACAGGCTCTTTTTACTAAAACTGCCCCCAAAACGTTCTCTGGGGGGTGGAAACGGGCCACTTCCACCTCGCGGCCTCCGCCAACGCAGACAGGAAACGTCACCCCCCCAAAAAAATAGAAAAAGGTCTCGTCTACCCGCGGTCGCCGCCGGGTTGAACCCAGTCCCAGACGTGGAGGGAACCGTCGCTGGCTGCTGACAGCAAAGTCCTGGCCTTCTGGGGGTGCCACGTGTGGGTTGTCACCAAAGGAAGGTCTCCACCACCATTGCAACCACCCAACGCGTGGCCTCGATGAACAAAGATGGGTTCTACCTCCAGGCCCGAGCCCTCCCAGCCCCAGGTGTCGAAGACCCGCACCGTCCCGTCGAAACCTGGGATGAAAACGGGGAAGGAGGGAGAGGGATTGCAACCACCCAACGCGTGGCCTCGATGAACAAAGATGGGCTCTACCTCCCGGCCTGAGCCCTCCCAGCTCCGGGTGTCGAAGACCCGCACCGTCCCGTCGAAACCTGGGATGAAAACGGGGAAGGAGGGAGAGGGTAGAAAGAAATTATGGAATCACAAGGTTGGAAGGAACCTCTGGAGACCACCCAGTCTAACCCCCACCCTACCAGAGCAGGTCCACCCAGAGCAGGTTGGAGAGGAACGTGTCCAGGCAAGGTTGGAGGATCTCCAGAGTCTATCTGGAGATACTTCAGAGGCTCTTCCAGAGAAGGAGACTCCACCACCTCCCTGGGCAGCCTCCTCCAGGGATCTGCCACCCTCACAGGGAAGTTTTCCTTATTTTCTCCATCCCAGTTTGTGCCCGTTGTCCCTTGTCCCGTCCCTGGCCACCACTGGGAAGAGTCTGGCCCCATCTTCTTGCCCCCCACCCTTTAGTTATTGCTCAGCATCCATGAGGTCCCCTCTCAGTCTGCTCTTCTCCAGCTGAACAGCCCCAGGTCCCTCAGCCTTTCCTCAGCAGAGAGATGCTCCAGGCCCTCATCATCCTCACAGCCTCTGCTGTCCCCTCTCCAGCAGTTCCCTGTCCTTCTGGAACTGGGGAGCCCACAACTGGTCCCAGTGCTCCAGCTGGGGCCTCCCCAGGGCAGAGCAGAGGGGCAGGATGACCTCCCTCCACCTGCTGCTCACACTCTTCCTGATGCCCCCCAGGATGCCCTTGGCCTTCTTGGCCACCAGGGCCCATTGCTGGCTCATGGGCATCCTGTTGTCCACCAGGACTCCCAGGTCTTTCTCCTCAGAGCTACTCTCCAGATGGTCCCCCCCAACCTCTCCTGGTCCATGGGGTTATTCCCCCCCCAGGTGCAGAACCCTGCACTTGCCCTGGTTGAACTTCATGAGGTTCCTCTCCCCCCTCAACTCTCCAGCCTGTCCAGGTCTCACTGGATGGTGACCCAACCCTTCTGGTGTGTCACCTGCTCCTCTTGGCTTTGTGCCACCAGCAAACGTGCTGAGGGCACACTCTGTCCACCCAGGTCGTGGGTGAATATATTGAATAGGACTGACCCCTGGGGGACACCACTTTGCTCTCGTCCTACTGGGCTCACCCTCACCTTCCAGCAGGGCTGCCAAGACAGAAAACGGGGACAAAAAAACCCTGCACTTGCCCTGGTTGAACTTCATGAGGTTCCTCTCCCCCCTCAACTCTCCAGCCTGTCCAGGTCTCACTGGATGGTGACCCAACCCTTCTGGTGTGTCACCTGCTCCTCTTGGCTTTGTGCCACCAGCAAACGTGCTGAGGGCACACTCTGTCCACCCAGGTCGTGGGTGAATATATTGAATAGGACTGACCCCTGGGGGACACCACTTTGCTCTCGTCCTACTGGGCTCACCCTCACCTTCCAGCAGGGCTGGAGAGACAGAAAATGGGGACAAAGAGTGACAACCTGTGACAGCAGAGCTTCCAAATCTCCCAGGAGCTTGATTCAAGCTGATGGGGAGAACATGGGCCAGATCCAAAAAAGCTCACAGATTGAATAGTCCGACTTTACAACGTCCTGGCCAAGAACTGGTCTCATCAGCGCATGGTCTCATCATCCCTGAGGCCACTGGCACTATCAGGGGTCTCTGTTCTTCCAGGAAGGAAGAAGGTGTCCCCCAGAAACCACCCAGGCCCCTTCTGTAGTTATTGGAGAGAGGCAGCTGCAGGGAACAATTAGTTGGCATCTCTGATGGCTTCAGGAGGAGCTCTGAACAACCACCCCCTTACCGGAGTGTCTAAAGTAAGGTGAGGTGAACAAGGCCTTGGTAGAAACACAGCTCAAAAAAAGCATCCAGAAAAGGTGGTGGATGAGAAGCTGGACATGAGCAGGCAGTGGGCACTTGCAGCCCAGAAGGCCAATCCCATCCTGGGCTGCATCAAAAGCTGCGTTGCCAGCAGGTCCAGAGAGGGGATTCTGCCACTTGACTCTGCTCTGGTGAGACCTCACCTGGAGTATTGTGTGCAGGTCTGGAGCCCTCAATAGAAGAAGGACATGGACCTGATGGAGAGGGTCCAGAGGAGGGCCACGAGGATGATCAGGGGGATGGAGCACCTCTGCTACGAGGACAGGCTGAGGGAGCTGGGGTTGTTCAGCCTGGAGAAGAGGAGGCTCCGGGGAGACCTAATAGCAGCCTTCCAGTACCTGAAGGGGCCTACAGGAAGGCTGGGGAGAACCTGTTTAGAAAGGCCTGCAGTGACAGGACGAGGGGCAATGGCTTCAAGCTGGAGGGGAACAGATTTAGACTGGAGATGAGGAGAGGGTTCTTCACTGGGAGGGTGGTGGAGCACTGGAACAGGTTGCCCAGGGAGGTGGTTGAGGCCCCTTCCCTGGAGATATTCAAGGAGAGGCTCGACGAGGCCCTGGGCAACCTGGTCTAGTTGGGGGTGTCCCTGCTGACTGCGGGGAGGTGGGACTAGATGACCTTTGGAGGTCCCTTCCGGCCTGGGCAATTCTATGATTCTATAATTCTAAAAGGAGATGTCTCCCCAAACCCACATACCTGAGACAGCAAGGCAGCTTTCCAGAGCTGGAGCCCAGGAGACGCAGAGGAACTCCCCACTGGAGCTGGCTGAGGGCACCCTACACTTCACCGTGGCCAAAGACTCGGAGGTTTTCCTTACGTCGGTGAGGGTGAGGTGGCCCCCACTCGAGAGGCAAACTATGGGCTGGGAGGTCAAGTCAGAGCCTGGAGGTCCATGCCCAACCCCCATGCACCAACGCTCCCCACACGGCGCCCAGGGGATGGACGCGGCCTCCAAGGGACCCCGTGGCTGCCGAAGGTCTGCCAGGAACAACCGACCCTCAGCAGAGCAGAGGAGCAACGTGTCAGGGTCCAGGAAGGCCAGGCCACCGAGCTCCTCACTGCTTCTGGAGGCTAGAAAAAAAACAGAGAGGAAGACCTCAGAGGACACATGGAGCATTTGCATGGTTTTCTGCTCTAATCATAGAATGGTTTGGGTTGGAAGGGATCTTGAAGACCATCCAGTTCCAACCCCTTGCCCTGGGCAGGGACACCTCCCACCAGAGCAGGTTGCTCCAAGCCTCATCCAACCTGGCCTTGAACATCTCCAGGGATGGGGCAGCCACAGCTTCTCTGGGCAACCTGGCCAGTGTCTCAACACATTCATCCATCCATCCATCCATCTCCCCATCCATCCATTCATCCATCCATCCATCCATCTCTCCATCCATCCACTCATTCATCCATCCATCCATCCATCCACCCACCATTTATTCATCCATCCATCTCTCCATCTCTCCATCCATCCATCCATCCATCTCCCCATCCATCCATCCCCCCATCCATCCATCCATCCATCCATCCATCCATCCATCCATCCATCCATCTCTCCATCCATCCATCCATCTCTCCATCCATCCCTCCATCCATCTCTCCATCCATCCCTCCATCCATCTCTCCATCCATCTCTCCATCCATCTCTCCATCCATCTCTCCATCCATCTCTCCATCCATCTCTCCATCCATCTCTCCATCCATCTCTCCATCCATCTCTCCATCCATCTCTCCATCCATCTCTCCATCCATCTCTCCATCCATCTCTCCATCCATCTCTCCATCCATCTCTCCATCCATCTCTCCATCCATCTCTCCATCCATCTCTCCATCCATCTCTCCATCCATCTCTCCATCCATCTCTCCATCCATCTCTCCATCCATCTCTCCATCCATCTCTCCATCCATCTCTCCATCCATCTCTCCATCCATCTCTCCATCCATCTCTCCATCCATCTCTCCATCCATCTCTCCATCTCTCCATCCATCCATCCATCTCTCCATCCATCCATCCATCTCTCCATCTCTCCATCCATCCACTCATTCATTCATCCATTCATCTCTCCATCCATCCATCCATCCATCCCTCCCTCCATCCACTCATTCATCCATCCATCCCTCCATCCATCCATCCACTCATTCATTCATCCATTCATCTCTCCATCCATTCATCTCTCCATCCATCCATCCCTCCATCCATCCATCCCTCCATCCATCCATCCATGCATTTCTTCCCCACATCTCATCTCCATCTCCCCTCTTTCAGTGTCAAACCCTTCCCTCTCCTCCTAGGGTTCCCCTCCTTCATCAAGAGTCCCTCCCCATCTCTCCTGGAGCCCTTTGAGGGACTGGAAGGGGCTCCAAGATCTCCCTGGAGCCTCCTCTTCTCCAGGCTGAACACTCCCAGTTGAACAACTCCAGTAATTTTGCCTAAGAAAGCAGATTTCCAGCCGTGGCCCTTGGAAGTGGCTTTCAAGCAAGGTTCTTCAAGAGAGCCAGCAGCAGAGACTGACAGGTCAATGACAATCCCAATAATTGGGAATTATCTCTGCACAGGTTCCACGTGGAGCTGGCACAGTCTGTACCCCTCAAAAACAGATATTAACACCCAGGTGGAGGAGAAAAAACCCCACAACTAATAGAGGGTCTGTTTGAGCCCCCATTGGGGGACCCAACATGGACCAGGGCTCTGAGAGCAGATGCCTCCAGCCCTACCCTTCACCAGTGGGAGCCACACGAGGCACAGAGCAGAGCATCGACAAAAAGACCTTCTATTTTTGGGGCAAGACACAGAGCAACCCCTCTGCTGACCCAATTCTTTGCCACAAAACCACCTACGGCGCTCTCACAGGGCACAGATCTGGGGCAGAAACCTGAGAAATCAGTCAGGGGACTAATGAGAAGCTAGAGATGGACCACTGTGACCTCTCTTTCCTTAAGACAATGTCTTTTTTTGAATTATCTTTACACCCAAAAGCCCCCACCCAGTGAAACTGTTGCCACTCGAGCGGGTACTTTTGCTTTTCCCAAACCTCAGCTTTCATAAATCACTATTTTGACTGGGTTTCAATACCTGCCACGTAGACATTTTTCCTCGATTCGACCTCTGTAACTTGGACGTTGTCGAGTTTCGAGCCGTGAAGGACCCAGGGGGCTCTGGCTGAAATTGTGGCAATTTTTGCCCAAAGTTGCCCTGTGCCATTTTCCGGAACTATGGCACTTACAGGTTTAATAACATCTAGTGGAAAGAGACATTAAGCAGCTGTAAAACACATGGGGAGCCAAATAATCCACAAGATTAAGCTCTTTCACGGCCTCCTAAAGCTAAAAGTGACCTACTAAACGAGTAAAAAATCCAATTATGACTAATTCTGCCCCCCTCTCTCCAGAACAAAACCGCTCTTTCCAACGCATCCAGCGAGGACCCATCAACAAGCCCTTCAAAAAAAAAAATCTCATGGGAAGTTGCGAATCGAGAGGTTTCTTTTCAAGGAAGAAGAAAAACTTCAGAACGTTTTGAGCTTCCTTTCTGGTGGTTTCCAAGTGATTTCACAAGAAAAGACAGAGCAACGACAGTTCTTTTCCTAGAAGAGGTCAGACATTGGCTCGGGGAACCGAGGTGGTTCATGGTACATCTATTTTACATCTATTTTATGATTTTATATCCTGAAAGGTGATTTTATGGAGCTTTTTCTTTCTAACCCTTGGTGTTGTGAAGGGAATATTGTGTCAACTATAAATTCAGGGGGTTTTTTTGTATGTCTAAGAGCTCACAAATAAGTGGAAAGCCACCACGATGGGCCTAAACCTACCAATTCTCTTTAAGAGGTTTGTGCCACCAAGTCCCTTTCTTTCCAGGCCACCAGAATGGGTGTAGACACTTGTCTCATGTCCTTCTCCAGCCCCTGCCACACCAAGGAAGTCACTCAGGACGTCACTAAATGGGACTGGGACTCCTGTCCCCATTTTATGGCCAGGAAGAAGGGGAAGCCAGAGATGTTTGACGCAAGGACAACATTGAGAAACCACCCAAGCTCAGAAATACATTCTCTTACCAGAGTCTTCTGCTGACACCTGCCAGACCTGGAGGGAGCTGTCTGGTGGCCCACTCGTCACCAGCAAGCTGAGGGAAAACAAAAAGAACCCCATAAAATTCTTCAGGAGCAGAGAATGGACGTTTTTTATCCCCAGTCTGAGACAAATCAGTCTGTGCTCATGGACTCCAGCCTCTGCTTGAAGCAGAGAAGGGACCAGAAAGACCGTGATGCCAGAACTCCTCACGTTGGGGTGTCCTACAGCCCAGGCAAAAGCAATCCCAGGCAAAGGCATTTCATTAGCACGTTTTTCCAAAAGTGCTAGACTAAGAACACCACAAAGAGCCCCGAAGTAGCGCCGGGGGCTCGCGTAGGAGGAGAGAGCTGAAGGAGTGAGATGAATCAGCCGGAGGGAAGCACGTTTGCTTGGTCTACAATCCTCAGCAGGAATAAAAAAAACCAACCTTCTGAACCTGAGGTGGCCACTAGCACCCTGCTCTGCCAAACACAGAAGGAAGGGATGGAAACCAAAGGGTTCTAGGAGGACCTCTACGTGCCACTGGCCAACAAGTCCCCACTGGGAGTCACGCTGGTCTCAGAGCTGGCAGGATGGACCAGTTGGCAAGGAAAAGGGGCTTTCTCTCTCTTTCTCTCAGTGGACAAGTCCCCTCTCCATCTCCAGGAGGTCCTGGAAGGACACCTGTGGCCATACCTGGTGTCCGGTACGTATTTCAAGCTGTAGACCGGGCGGTTGGAAAATCCACCACATTCCACCTTGAAATCTCTCTCCGGACACAGGCCCTGGAAAATCAGAGACAAAAGTCATTTCTTCACACCTAAAGGTGTAGAAATTGGTGTGGTCAGTCACCACGGAAAAAAAACCAAAGAGATAAGAGAAAAAGAGACTCTTGGTAAAGTTCTTCCCTGTCCAGTAATGCCTATTTAGAGAAGGACAGGGAATTACTGGAGAGGGGACAGCAAAGGACCACAAAGATTTTGAGGGACCTAGAACAAGGGTGGGCTGAGGGACTTGGGTCTGTTTAGTCTGGAGAAGAGAAGGCTGAGGGGGGATCTGATCAACACCTATAAATCCTTCAAGGGTGGGTGTCAGGAGGGTGGGGCCAGTCTCTTTTCAGTGGTGCCCAGGGACAGGACAAGAGGGAATGGGCACAAACTTGACCATAAGGAGTTAACATGAGGAGGAACTTCTTTCCTGTGAGGGTGGCAGAGCCCTGGCAGAGGCTGCCCAGAGAGGTGGTGGAGTCTCCTTCTCTGGAGACATTCAAACCCCACCTGGACACGTTCCTGTGGGACCTGCTCTGGGTGGCCCTGCTCTGGCAGGGGGTTGGACTAGATGATCTCCAGAGGTCCCTTCCAACCCCAGATCATTCTATGATTCATTCTGTGAGCTACAGGACTGAAGGATTCCAAAACAGTTAGAGGGAAAAAAATACAGAGAAAGCTCCTGCCAAGAGCACTGCCTGGGTTTGTTGCCATCCATGAAACTTATGGATTTAAGTTTTTCTTAAATCACCCAGTGACCAAACACCACCTTCTACTTCAGCTTAGAAGGGACAGCCTCAGGCATGTCAGCAAGTCCCTTCTTCGTTTGCCCTGGTGTCCTCACCTGTTCTATCTCCTCATGAAACAATTTCACTCACACATCTGGAGATGAAGGGGGCCTAAAGGGGCTCCAGGAAAGCTGAGGAGGGACTCTTGATGAGGGAGGGGAGCCCTAGGAGGAGGGGGAAGGGTTTGACCCTGCAAGAGGGGAGATGGAGCTGAGCTGTGGGGAAGAACTTGTTTGGTGTGAGGGTAGTGAGAGCCTGGCCCAGGTTGCCCCGAGAAGCTGTGGCTGCCCCATCCCTGGAGGGGTTCAAGGGCAGGTTGGAGGGGGCTTGGAGCCACCTGCTCTGGTGGGAGGAGTCCCTGCCCAGGGCAGGGGGTTTGGAACTGGATGGTCTTCAAGGTCCCTTCCAACCAAAATCATTCTATGGTTCTATGATTTTTTCATGGCACAAGCTGCCCACAGAGCTACAGGACTCCACGACTGATGTGCCAACCTGTGCTACCTCAACTAGAGAGCAACTGGGTGACTTCTGTGCTTTAGCTTTCAACCAAAGCTGCTCAAGACCTGGCCAAGCCCTTGTCAGAGCAACAGAGACCAGGCAACAGTTTTTGAAGCTCAGCAGAGCACAGCCCGGTCTTTGAAGACACCAGAAGAAGGGGGACATAGTGACCTGGTGCCACCACGGCTGCAGCACCCACCTGGGTCTCCTTCACCTGCAGGGATGGTGGTGGGAGCAGCTGCAGGATCTCGTTCCCTCCAGACTGTCCATACCCGGCTACACACACACCTTGGAAGTGGAGATGAAGAACCAAGGACATGGTGAGGGATCCCCCCATCCTGCCTGGCCCTACCCCTCCCTGAAGCAGACCCCTGGGTCATAGTATGGTCCATCCTCAACCCAGAGCCCCCCAGCCCAGGCTGAACCCTGATACAGCCCCAGCCACTTGGCCCCACTCCTGGGGTCCTCATCCTGAACCTTGGCCACCCCTCTGGGGTCCTAGACCAGCCCAACCCCATGGCCACCCCTTCTCCCCTCTCCGTAGCCCCAGCCCGGCCTCATGGCCATTTTCCAACACTGTTTAATATCTTCCTAAGGGATCTGAGTGATGGGATCAAGCGTAGCCTGATGGAAGTTTGCTGATGACACCAAATGGCATGGGGTAGGGGACATTTGGGAAGGGAGAACCACCCTGCAGGAAGCCCTGAATGGCCTGGAAGGTTGGGCTGACAAAGACCTCATGAAGTTCAACCAGGACGAGTGTAAGGTCCTGCACCCTGGAACACACAATCCCAGAGAGCAGCACGGGATGGGATCTACCCGTTGTGGAGCAGCTCCGTGGAAAAGGACCTGGGGGTCCCGGTGGACAATGAGAACCATATGAGCAAGAATTGGGGTTACTGTGGCAAAAAAAAGCCAACAGGATGCTGGGATGTGCCACTGAGGGCATCACCAGCAGTGATAAAGAATCATTTTCCCACTCTGCTCAGCGCTGGTCAGGCCACAGCTGGAACACAGGGCTCGGTTTTGGTCCCCACAACACAAAAAAATCATGTGGACAGGCTGCAGAAGGTCCAGAGAAGGACCTGAGAGAAGGTCAAGAGAAGGTCCACAAAACGATCAAAGGACTGGGAAGCCTTCTGCAGGCTGATCCCCTCCCCACCCCAACTCTCTCAGCCTGTCCTCCCAGGAGAGGGGCTCCAACCCTCCCAGCATCTCCGGGGCCTCCTCTGGCCCCGCTCCAACAGGTCCATGTCTCTCCTGGGCTGAGGTCTCAAGAACTGGACCAGGGAATCTCCCCAGGAAAGCAGTGGATTCCCCAGCATTGGACAATTTTAAGGTTCAGCTGGACAGGGAGTCAGGCCATCTTGTCTAGACCATGTTTTTGCCAAGAAAGGTTGGATCAGGTGATCCCTGAGGTCCCTTGCAAGTAAGAATTCTACAATGATCAGAAAATGCTGGGAGGACTGGAGTCCCTCTGCTGGGAGGACAGGCTGAGAGAGTTGGGGGGGTTCAGCCTGGAGAAGAGAAGGCTCTGGGGAGACTTTGGTTTTGGCCTTTCAGTACTTAAAGAGGGTTTATAAGAAAGATGGAGATTTTTACCAGGGCCTGTAGTGCCAGGACAAGGGGTGATGGTTTTAAACTGAAAGAGGGTAAATTTAAGTTGGAACTATCTCCTCATGAAACAATTTCACTCACACATCTGGAGATGAAGGGGGCCTAAAGGGGCTCCAGGAAAGGTGGGGAGGGACTCTTGATGAGGGAGGGGAGCCCTAGGAGGAGGGGGAAGGGTTTGACCCTGCAAGAGGGGAGATGGAGCTGAGCTGTGGGGAAGAACTTGTTTGGTGTGAGGGTAGTGAGAGCCTGGCCCAGGTTGCCCCGAGAAGCTGTGGCTGCCCCATCCCTGGAGGGGTTCAAGGGCAGGTTGGAGGGGGCTTGGAGCCACCTGCTCTGGTGGGAGGAGTCCCTGCCCAGGGCAGGGGGTTTGGAACTGGATGGTCTTCAAGGTCCCTTCCAACCAAAATCATTCTATGGTTCTATGATTTTTTCATGGCACAAGCTGCCCACAGAGCTACAGGACTCCACGACTGATGTGCCAACCTGTGCTACCTCAACTAGAGAGCAACTGGGTGACTTCTGTGCTTTAGCTTTCAACCAAAGCTGCTCAAGACCTGGCCAAGCCCTTGTCAGAGCAACAGAGACCAGGCAACAGTTTTTGAAGCTCAGCAGAGCACAGCCCGGTCTTTGAAGACACCAGAAGAAGAGGGACAGAGTGACCTGGTGCCCCCCTGGCTACAGCACCCACCTGGGTCTCCTTCACCTGCAGGGATGGTGGTGGGAGCAGCTGCAGGATCTCGTTCCCTCCAGACTGTCCATACCCGGCTACACACACACCTTGGAAGTGGAGATGAAGAACCAAGGACATGGTGAGGGATCCCCCCATCCTGCCTGGCCCTACCCCTCCCTGAAGCAGACCCCTGGGTCATAGTATGGTCCATCCTCAACCCAGAGCCCCCCAGCCCAGGCTGAACCCTGATACAGCCCCAGCCACTTGGCCCCACTCCTGGAGTCCTCATCCTGAACCTTGGCCACCCCTCTGGGATCCCAGACCAGCCCAACCCCATGGCCACCCCTTCTCCCCTCTCCGTAGCCCCGCCCGGCCTCATGGCCATTTTCCAACACTGTTTAATATCTTCCTAAGGGATCTGAGTGATGGGATCAAGCGTAGCCTGATGGAAGTTTGCTGATGACACCAAATGGCGTGGGGAAGGGGACACTTGGGAAGGGAGAACCCCCTTCAGGAAGCCCTGAATGGCCTGGAAGGTTGGGCTAACAAGAACCTCATGAAGTTCAACCAGGACGAGTGTAAGGTCCTGCACCCTGGAACACACAATCCCAGAGAGCAGCACGGGATGGGATCTACCCGTTGTGGAGCAGCTCCGTGGAAAAGGACCTGGGGGTCCCGGTGGACAATGAGAACCATATGAGCAAGAATTGGGGTTATTGGAAAAGGACCTGGGGGTCCTGGTGGACAATGAGCACCATATGAGCAAGAATTGGGGTTGCTGTGGCAAAAAAAAAGCCAACAGGATGCTGGGCTGTGCCACTGAGGGCATCACCAGCAGCGATGAAGAATCACTTTCCCAAGCAAGAATTGGGGTTACTGTGGCAAAAAAAAGCCAACAGGATGCTGGGATGTGCCACTGAGGGCATCACCAGCAGTGATAAAGAATCATTTTCCCACTCTGCTCAGCGCTGGTCAGGCCACAGCTGGAACACAGGGCTCGGTTTTGGTCCCCACAACACAAAAAAATCATGTGGACAGGCTGCAGAAGGTCCAGAGAAGGACCTGAGAGAAGGTCAAGAGAAGGTCCACAAAACGATCAAAGGACTGGGAAGCCTTCTGCAGGCTGATCCCCTCGGACAGGCTGCAGAAGGTCCAGAGAAGGACCAGAAAGAGGGTCAAGAGAAGGTCCAGAAAACGATCAAAAGACTGGGAAGCCTTCTGCAGGATGATCCCATCCATCCCACTCTGCTCAGCGCTGGTCAGGCCACAGCTGGAACACAGGGCTCGGTTTTGGTCCCCACAACACAAAAAAATCATGTGGACAGGCTGCAGAAGGTCCAGAGAAGGACCTGAGAGAAGGTCAAGAGAAGGTCCACAAAACGATCAAAGGACTGGGAAGCCTTCTGCAGGCTGATCCCCTCCCCACCCCAACTCTCTCAGCCTGTCCTCCCAGGAGAGGGGCTCCAGCCCTCCCAGCATCTCCGGGGCCTCCTCTGGCCCCGCTCCAACAGGTCCATGTCTCTCCTGGGCTGAGGTCTCAAGAACTGGACCAGGGAATCTCCCCAGGAAAGCAGTGGATTCCCCAGCATTGGACAATTTTAAGGTTCAGCTGGACAGGGAGTCAGGCCATCTTGTCTAGACCATGTTTTTGCCAAGAAAGGTTGGATCAGGTGATCCCTGAGGTCCCTTGCAAGTAAGAATTCTACAATGATCAGAAAATGCTGGGAGGACTGGAGTCCCTCTGCTGGGAGGACAGGCTGAGAGAGTTGGGGGGGTTCAGCCTGGAGAAGAGAAGGCTCTGGGGAGACTTTGGACCTTCCAGTCCCTCAAGGGGCTCCAGGAGAGATGGGGAGGGACTCTGGATCAGGGAGGGGAGCCCTAGGAGGAGGGGGAAGGGTTTGACCCTGAAAGAGGGAAAATGGAGATGAGATATTAGGGAGGAATTTTTCACTCTGAGGGTGGTGAGAGCCTGGCCCAGGTTGCCCCGAGAAGCTGTGGCTGCCCCATCCCTGGAGGGGTTCAAGGGCAGGTTGGAGGTGGCTTGGAGCAACCTGGTGTGGTGGGAGGTGTCCCTGCCCAGGGCAGGGGGTGGCACTGGATGATCTTTAAGGTCCTTTCCCACCCAAACCATTCTATGAATCCATCATTTCCTACTCCTGTAGCTCCAGCCCAGCTCCTTGGCCCCCTTCTTTCCCCCAGGACCTACCCTAACCCCCTCCTCGGGGATCCCCAGGCCCAGCCCCTCTCCCACCCCAAGGCCCGGCCTCCCCCGCTCCTCCCCACACTCACGGTTCCCCCGGGCCCATTCGATCAGGCGGGTGGGGGCTTGGAGCTCGAAGGTGTGCAGGTCCCCGTACCTGCGGGGGGAGAAAGAGGAGAGGTTGGAAGGGTAGGGAGGAGTGGGGCCTGGGCCGGTGGGGCCTGGGCTGGGGCCCGGGCCTGGGGGAGAGGGGTCGGGACCGGGGCCTGGGCCGGGGGGAGCGGGGTCGGGACCGGGGCTGGGTCCAGGGGAAGCGGGGTCGGGGCCCGGGGAAGCGGGGCCGGCCCTGGGGCCGGATTTCCCTCACAGGCGCAGGGACTGGAGCAGCCATTCGTCCGCCTCCTCCTCCCCGGCGCCCACCGCCTCCATGGCAACGCACGTCGCCTTCCTCTGACGTCACGACGGCGGCGCGCAGCAGTGACGTAGCTGCGGCTCTTCCCGCCCTCCGCCATGTCGGGGCGGCCCCAAACCGGTCGCGGCCGGTTGGATCCGGTCGGGGCCGGCGGCGCTGAGGGGAGGGCGGGCCGAGACCGCCTCCCTGAGGGAAAAGGGCGTTATTGGGTTAACGAGCGGGGCGGTAAAAGGCCGGGAAGAGGGCAGGGTCCTGGCCGGGTGTGTGTGAGGCAGGGAATGATCATAATAATGGAATCACAAAAGGGTTTGGGTGGGGACGGGCCTTAAAGGACCCCCCAGTTCCATCCAGGGACACCTCCCACCACACCAGGTTGCTCCAAGCCCCCTCCAACCTGCCCTTGAACCCCTCCAGGGATGGGGCAGCCACAGCTTCTCTGGGCAACCTGGGCCAGGCTCTCACCACCCTCACACCAAACAAGTTCTTCCCCACATCTCACCTTAACCTTCCCTCTTTTCCCTTAAAACCCTTCCCCCTCCTCCTATGGCTCCCCTCCCTCATCAAGAGTCCCTCCCCATCTCTCCTGGAGCCCCTTGAGGGACTGGAAGGGGCTCCAAGGTCTCCCTGGAGCCTTCTCTTCTCCGGGCTGAACCCCCCCAACTCTCTCAGACCCTCCTCCCAGCAGAGGGGCTCCAGCCCTCCCAGCATCTCCATGGTGGCCTCCTCTGGCCCTGCTCCAACAGGTCCATGTCCTTCTGCTGTTGGTGGCCCCAGAGCTGGAGGCAGCACTGGGTGGGGGGTGTCTCCCCAGAGCGGAGCAGAGGGGCAGAATCCCCCCTCTGGCCCTGCTGGCCACGCTGCTGGGGATGCAGCCCAGGATTTGGGGGGCTTTCTGGGCTGCCAGCACACGTGTCCAGCTCATGTTGATCTTCTCACCCACCAACACCCCCAAGTCCTTCTCAGGGTTGCTCTTTCCAGCCATTCTCTTCCCAATTCTGGGCTGCCAGCACATGTTGCCAGCTCAGGTTGCACTTCTCGTCCACCAACATCCCCAAGTTCTTCTCAGTGCCGCTCTTTCCAGCCATTCTCTTCCCAGCCTGGATTTGTGGCTTGGAATTGCCCCAGCCCATGTGGTAGGACCTTGGACTTGACCTTGTGGAACTTCATGAGGTTCCACATGGGCCCACCTCTCCAGCCTGTCCAGGTCCTTCTGGATGCCATCCTGTCCCTCTGACGTGCTGACCTCTCTGCACAGCTCGGTGGTGGTGGCAAACTCGTTGAGGGTGCGCTCAATCCCATCATCCGTGTTGCCGATGAAGATGCTCACAGCACCGACCCCTGAGGAGCACCACTCATCGCTGGTCTCCACTTGGACATCAAACTGTTGAGAACAGCTCTTTGAGTGTGACCATCCAGCCAATTCCTTACCCACTGAGGGCTCCATCCATCAAAACCATATCTCTCCAGTTTTCCTGAGACTGTATCATCACATCATCTTCGCTCCCAAGAGGATGGGTCTTCTGGTCTTTCCAGCCAAGAGGATGCTGCTCAAACCCAGACTGCAGGTCTGGGCCTTTCATGACCCCACGTTTGCAGAAGGTGATCCTTCTCCAACGATAATGTTCCTCTTCGTTCCTCTCCAGTGAAGGCCAGGTCCCCCTCAGGCCAGGTCCTCCTCAGACCAGATCCTAGCTGTGGGCTCGCCGCCTGCTCACAGTGACGCTTCAGGACCAGTGGTTGATAATTAGGGGTTTATTAGAGATTATTGTGCTTTTCCTGCCTGCTGGCCGGGTTTTAGCTGGCGTGCACGGCGCCGTGGAGGAAGCTGGGTCTATTTTCTGTAACACTGCAAGGTGGCAGCCTGCAGCTTCCGAGGTGGCTCGGGAGTAATCAGGAAAACGACTTGTTTTTTTTATAGAAATAACACCTGAATTGTGAATCTTTTAGTCTGTACGGTGTCTCCTGTGTTACCTGACGTTCTATGATGATTATTTTCCCCCCTCACTTTTCAGCCTGCTGTCAGTGTCAGGGAGGGATGGAGATGCTTTGGGTAGTTTCCTGGCCTCCCGCAGGGCTCAGAGAGGTGGTGGGACATTTTGGGGTGACCTGATGGGTTCAGACTTGGGCTGTGCTGCCTGAAATCATAGAATCATAGAATTGCCCAGGCTGGAAGGGACCTCCAAAGGTCATCTAGTCCCACCTCCCTGCAGTCAGCAGGGACACCCCCAACTAGACCAGGTGGCCCAAGGCCTCGTCGAGCCTCTCCTTGAATATCTCCAGGGAAGGGGCCTCAACCACCTCCCTGGGCAACCTGTTCCAGTGCTCCACCACCCTCACAGTGAAGAACCCTCTCCTCATCTCCAGTCTAAATCTGTTCCCCTCCAGCTTGAAGCCATTGCCCCTCGTCCTGTCACTGCAGGCCTTTCTAAACAGGCTCTCCCCAGCCTTCCTGTAGGCTCCCTTCAGGTACTGGAAGGCTGCTATTAGGTCTCCCCGGAGCCTCCTCTTCTCCAGGCTGAACAACCCCAGCTCCCTCAGCCTGTCCTTGTAGCAGAGGTGCTCCATCCCCCTGATCATCCTCGTGGCCCTCCTCTGGACCCTCTCCATCAGGTCCATGTCCTTCTTCTATTGAGGGCTCCAGACCTGCACACAACACTCCAGGTGAGGTCTCACCAGAGCAGAGCAAAGTGGCAGAATCCCCTCTCTGGACCTGCTGGCAACGCATCTTTTGATGTAGCCCAGGATGGGATTGGCCTTCTGGGCTGCAAGTGCCCACTGCCTGCTCATGTCCAGCTTCTCGTCCACCAGCACCCCCAAGTCCCTTTCCTCAGGGCTGCTTTCCAATCCCTCACCCCCGAGTCTGTACTGATGGTGAGGATTGTGCTTGGTGAAATCTGTGCTTGGGACTAATTTGGGGCTGTCACTAATGAAGAGAGTGAGAAAGAAGGAAGCCCAAAAGCGGGTACAGAGGCAGGAGTGGTGTGAGAAGAAGGATTGAAAGCCCGGAGCCTTTCCTTCAGCCCAGAAGCCCCCTGTGGAAGCAGCAGCTGGTTCTCCTCGCCCGTGGTTACTTCACCAACATCCTCTCCTCTTTGTCGCTTCAAGATCCGTTGGTGTTAGAACAGCTCAAAGAAAGGATGGCAAGAATTCTTCTGTGCGGGGGAAGAGGTATTTGCGGGGCGTTGTTTTTGCAAAATAGCACCAACAGTCGGAAATTCACTAAAAGCCTCGTCGTAATGCTTTCTGCCTGGGATGATTCAAAAAGAAAGTGTCGAGTAAACATCTTGTGAAGAATCTGAAACAAACTGGCTGCTCTGCAGTTGATTATTTTTTTTTTTTTTTGCTTTTAAAGTAAAGAATGGGGATTGGCTCTTCTCCCGAGGGACAGGCCATGGGATGAGAGGAAATGGCCTCAAGTTGCCCCAGGGGAGGTTGAGGATGGAGCTTGGGAAGAATTTCTTCCTGGAAAGGGTTGTGAAGCCTTGGAAGGGGCTGCCCAGGGCAGTGGTGGAGTCACCATCACTGGAGGGATTTCAAAGCCGGGCAGATGTGGTGCTGAGGGACATGGGTCAGTGGTGGGTTTGTCAGTGTTGGACTCCATGATCTCAAAGGTCCCTTCCAACTTCAGCAATTCTGTAATTCTATGAATATGATGGTTCCAATACCTTTGATTGAAAACTTTGAGGGATGTTGGAGAGAGCGGAGAAGTGAAGCCAAGACGGTACCAGCTGCGGGTGAGAATACAGAGATATGTCACCCCATGGGCTCAGAGCTCTGTCAGCCTTCTGTCACCTTCTCCCGTTAACTCTTTTTCTCATCTGTGTGCATTAATTGCAGGGCACGAGCTCAGCCTGAGGCGGAGAAGTGCTCAAATCAGCTCAAGGTGCTCCTCCAGCCAAGCACGAGCACAGAGAGAAGGAGAAACAGCAAAGGAAGGGCTGGAAACCAGAGGTTCGGCCATGAGCTGTGGTGCAACCTTGCTCTCGTTCTGCCCTGCGTCATAATCACCTCCCTACTTCTGCTAGTGTGACCAGCAGAAGTAGGGAGGTGATTGTGCCCCTGGACTCGGCACTGGTGAGGCCACACCTCGAGTGTTGTGTCCAGTTTTGGGCACCTCAATCCAAGAGAGATCTGGAGGTGCTGGAGCGGGTGCAGAGGAGGGCAACGAAACTAGTGAAGGGCCTGGAGAACAAATCGTATGAAGAGCGGCTGAAGGAGCTGGGGCTGTTTAGTTTGAGGAAGAGGAGGCTGAGGGGAGACCTCATCACTCTCTATAACTACTTGAAAGGACACTGTAGAGAGGTTGGTGCTGGTCTCTTCTCACAGGTAATTAGTGACAGAACGAGAGGGAACGGCTTCAAGCTCCAACAGGGGAGGTTTAGATTGAACATGAGGAAGGAATTTTTCACCCAAAGAGTGGTTGGGCATTGGAAGAGGCTGCCCAGGGAGGGGGTGGAGTCACCATCCCTGGATGTGTTTAAGGGCCGTTTAGATGCGGTACTGAGGGACATGGTGTAGGGGAGGACTTTGTAGAGTAGGGGAGATGGTTGGACTCGATGATCCCAAGGGTCTCTTCCAACCTCAATGATTCTATGATTCTATGATTATAATCCACAATGGAACAGGTTGTGTCTCCCTGGAGCTCCAGAGACTGATTTAGAGGCTGGTAATAAGCATTTGGAAATTTTATCTCCTGGTGGCCACTGTTAGAGGAGAAGGAACATGAGGCAGGACAGTGTGAGGAGCGACTGGACGCTGCGGATACCAGAGGGAGCCCAAAAATGGTTTTTCTCTGCACATTCGTGCCTTTTATTTTATATTCTCTTAATCTTTCCAATATACTCAGGGAGCAAAGTGGATCAGTGAGGGGGGAAAAAAGAAGAGCTCTCCAGTACTACAGATAATGGAGGCTGTTTTTTGAAGTGCCAAGGCCTAAACGAAGATAAAAACTGAAATCGCCGTTCAAGTTGAAACAAAATAAACACGTTAAGCCTATTTCAAAATCCCTCCAGAAAAGAAACATTTTAATCTCAAAATTTGGAAGAGGCAAGAGTGAAAAAATGGGAACGTTCGTTACAGAGTTGGAATAATAAGAAGGGACTAAGCTGTTTCTTTCTGCTTCAGCGTGTGGCTTTGCCATATGTGTTAAGAAAATATAAAAAACTGCTGTTTAGTCTTTTTTTTTCAGCGAATACATTCAGAGGGCCTGGCAGAGCACAGGAGACTTGACGTCCTACAGCCTTTTTTGCTTCCCTCTGTTTTTGAGCAGCCTTGGGGACACACACGTTGGGAAGGGAAAGGGTGAAGGAGCAAGGAATGGAAATCCTCGCTTTGAGAACTGATAACACTCGTTACATGAAATTAAATGGTACTTGCCTCCGAGCCGTCTTCAGCCTGAATGTTACACAGCAGTGAGGAGGATAAAAATAATATTTCCAGTTGCTATTTCTACAGCCGAACCAGCCTCGGAAGCTTGAAGGAGCTTTGGGACGTGATATGAATTTATGTCGTTGTAGCTTTTCCTGCTCAAACGGAAATTTGTCCCCGTATGGAGTGGATGGACACGCAGACAGGGACCTCTGGAGATCTAGTCCAACCCCCTGCCAAAGCAGGTCCTCCTGGAGCTGGTTGCACAGGAACGTGTCCAGGTGGGGTTTGAATGTCTCCAGAGAAGGAGACTCCACCACCTCCCTGGGCAGCCTCTGCCAGGGCTCTGCCACCCTCAAAGTGAAGAAATTCCTCCTCATGTTTAGGTGGAACTTCTTCTGGTCAAGTTTGTGCCCGTTACCTCTTGTTCTGTCCCTGGGCACCACTGAAAAAAGCCTGGCCCCATCCTCCTGACACCCACCCTTGAAGTATTTCTAGGTGTTGATCAGATCCCCCCTCAGCCTTCTCTTCTCCAGACTAAAAAGACCCAAGTCAATCAGCCTTTCCTCATTAGGAGAGATGCTCCAGGCCCCTCATCATCCTCGCAGCCTCTGCTGTCCCCTCTCCAGCAGTTCCCTGTCCTTCTGGAACTGGGGAGCCCAGAACTGGTCCCAGTGCTCCAGCTGGGGCCTCCCCAGGGCAGAGCAGAGGGGCAGGATGACCTCCCTCCACCTGCTGCTCACCCAGCTCTCCAGCCTGTCCAGGTCTCACTGGATGGGGGCACAGCCCTCCATCGTGTCAACCACCCCTCTCAGTTCTGTATAGTCAGCAAACTTGCTGAGGGGACACTCCATCCCCTCAGGTGGCATCCTCAGAAATGCAAGGTGAGTTACCCTTTCTTCTGTTAAAGTGGTGTCCTCTCATCTGCCCAGGTGCAGCACCCTGCTCTTGCCCTTGTGGAAGGATCTAGTCCAACCCCCTGTCAAAGCAGGTCGTCCTGGAGCTGGTTGCACA